CATCAAGCGGGTAGTCAGCCGCCTTGAGGTCCCTCCTCCACGACTGCATCCTCTTGCTGTGTGCTCTCTCAGATACGCTCAACTCACGCTTCCCCATGCGTGATGTTGAGTAACCACCGAGGTCTCCGGCAATGCAGTGGCTAATATGGCCCCAGGTTGAATCAGCAACAGCCTTCCAGATAGCGGTTACATCGACAGTCATAGCCTTGGTGTACAGAATACGGCAGTCTGAAGGCTCGTAGACGAACTGGAGAGGTGTGTCAGTCTCGTCTCCATCGCGAATACCATCGCGGAAGTTGACGTTGATCGCGTTGTTGGAAGAGCGGATAAAGGGTGTGTCGTCGAAGTAGTCGCCTAGTTCCGTCTTGTTGAGCTCAGCGCCTTCTGCAGGCGTAGACAGATTACCGATGGTGAACTGAGCCACGGATTGAATGTAGTCCCACGGGTAGTTGTTCGTTCCCTTCACACCCCCCACGGCTTGCGTAATACCCTCACGAGGGCGGCCTCCCAGTGAGATGTACTTGACACCGGCACGCTGACGCATGAGTTCAGAGAAGATGGTGCAAGTTGACGCGCAGTATCCATCGGTGACGACGACGATGTCCTCGGCGGCAAAAGGAGCCTTAGTGTAGTTTGAGAGTGGGCCATATCCGTGGACGTAAACACCACCGGAGTTGAGCGGAGTCAGTACGTCGCTGAGGTTCCAGCGGAAGAGGTTGGTGAAGTTGTCCCCCTTCTGCTCGAGCCCAGGGCCAAACTTGTCCTGCCAGCTCTCGAAGTTCTCGCTATTGACATCAAGATCAGATCGGTAGTTGAAGACGGAGGACACAACATTGCCGACCAGATCCTCTAGTGTTTCGTTCTTGGTCTCAAGCACACGTGGTACACCCGCGGCAGCTTCAGAGAACTTTCGGTTCAAGATCTCTGTAGTTTCGAAGGCGCGGTAGCGGTCGGCAGCCGCGTGATCAATCTCTTGCGGGAATAGCAGCTTGTATAGATCGTAGCCGAGCAAGATGGTGCCTCCGCCGTTGGCTGAAACGTCAACCACGAGCTTCTTTTTCCCGGCGGACTTGGCCTGGGCAAGGAACTTGGCAGCAGTATCTTGGAACCCTTCCTGTGCGTTGTCAATTCCGACGAAAGATGGCACGGAAAGTACGGCAACGTCTGAGTAGTCACCCTCGAGGAAGTAGCCACCAATCAAGTTGTGTGCTTCACGAAGGACTGGAGGCGGGTATCCTGGCGCAGGGATGGTTGGAAGAGGCGTAGCGGAGGTAGTGGCTGAGGGTGTAGGTGTAGCCGAGGTAGTGTTGGAAGCTTCGGTTTCGCTTCCAGGCTGGTTGCCCGTGAACCAGAGCTTGTAGAGGCTCTCTCCGTCGGTAATACCGTCGAAGGGGATCAGAACCTTGGCGAAGTTGTCATAAGTTCGGCTGGTACCGTTTTCAAACGTAAGCTCGGTGGTAGGACCGGGGTAAATCCAACGACCGCGGCCCGATCCCGCGAAGGTTCCAATACCAGATCCAACCGGGCCGAGAGATACAGTGGCGAGCTCGTAGAAGACGTTGTTGTACAACGCGTCTCGGTCCTGAAGGGAACCGTACTGGGCCCAGTTCTCCAGGAAATCCTTGGCATCCTCGCCATCGATGTGGGTAATGGGCGAAGGCGTGAACGTAGCATTGCCGAAAGATTCGGCCAAGACATCAGCATAGACGTAAGGCCGGGGAAGCTCCTTTCCGTCGCTCGAAACGGAAACGAGTGGTACAGGACGGGCGAAGTTGAAAACCGTGCCGACTACATCGGGGACGTACACAAAGTGACCGTCATGGGTGCTTTGCAATAGGGTGTAGAGCTCGAAACCGAACTGTTCTGAATCAGCTCATACTCTTCATAACAAGGAGAGAGACATCTTACTTCGTACTCGTTCTTGTACTCTCCTCCATTGACCTTTTTCCTGATTTCCTCGAGTTCGCCCCAGATATCAACCGCTGGCTGGACCTTCTCGGCGTACTCAGCAGGAGGGTCTTTCAACCAGACGGTGTTACTTTGCCATTTGAAATATGGAACGACACCGTCTACCAGGGCAAGAGCAGCGCTCTGGTTGAATGGGACGGAGTTGATGCAGTCCCATGCGAGTTCGGCGGGTACAGTCGCGGTACCTGCAGTGACATTCTTGCCTACGATCGCGGTGCCGACTTGTGCGCAGGGACTTGTCGCGTTGTAGTGCCGTGTATGAATATGAGGTGCGACAGGCGACGATAGCGCGACTGAGGCTAGCGAGAGACCCGCAACGGCATTGAAGAGGGAAGCCATGCTTTCAACCCAGACAACACGACAAGAACTGGAGGCAAAGATCTCAGGTTCGCCGTACCTCCGCTGCAGTCGCACGAACTATACCACTTTATAGCTGCACAGCTTGAACCGCGGACCAGGTAGCGAACTTGCGCGTTCCCGAGAAAGAAGACATCATAGCTGCAGGAGCTACCCTGTACTTGTCATTGCTAGACCCATGTAGAACAAGGCAAAGGACGGTCGGGCGAATAGGCGATGCGGATATGATAGGGAACTAGATTAAGAGCATGCATGCACGTATGCTCGAAGAGGAAGGCCGTGGTGTGCTTGGTGCTCTGAACGATTGACGATCGTATCCCGAACGGCATTGGGGGTTCAGGGCAACACAGGTACCCAAGGACCCAGGGTCGCTTTGATGGTAGAGTGCCCACAATTATGGATGCATCTCGGTGCAATGGTAATGATTACTAGGTAAGAGATTGGACAGTCGGCCGCTGTAACACTGACCGCGAAGCTTCGTGGAGTTGTCGAAGCTTCACAAGCCTCAGGCGCTAGCCCGCCTTTCTACGCTAGATTAGGCAGGCGCAAAGTGCGCGGTGCCGATGCGTCCTATCGAGCATTCGAGCATCAATCCCCGCTCTTGCGATATCAGCTTCCGAAAGCGCATTGGGTCTACGGGAATCATGACGTGCGACGGAGCTGCAGTGCTTTTGTGTGGCTAGTGCTATGCAGTGCCAATCTTCAGGACGGAGTACATGGGTGGCGTGAGGCACATTGGAGGCTGAACCGAGGGACGGGTAATTACTCCGCAAGATACCCGTGGACAACAGGAACACGAAATTGCTGACAGGATCATCCCGCTAAATTTCCGAACACTGACAGCTGTTACATGTAAGACCATACAGCCTTATAGAAAGTCAACTAATCACCATATCAAACTAATCACCATACAGTCCGAAAGTCTACATGCCAGTCGTTATAGCTTGCATCGCTACACTTAGCAGACGGCTTGCGCGTTGATTTTGAGAAGTGTTGACGTAGACACGGGCTTGGTAACACCGCAACCCGCCTTTCACACATTGATGCGTGCTCAGATGAGTAATCTGATCGAGGCACAATGAGACACGAGACGCAGTCGAACGGGCTCAAGCCACATTCCCACATCCATCTTCCATCGCCCAGGCCAGTTCATGTGATCAAAGGGCAACCACAGAAAGAGCAACATGGGACATCAACTCCTGCCAATTCACTGCAGCAGTCAGAGCATGCTATAGAGGGACCCAACAGCGAATTATGAAAAGATGCCAATCTTTTCGCAGCATTCTCGCTACTACGAGCATCCTTTGGTCAATGAACGGAGGATGACCAGAGCGATGAACCCAAATGTATCGTAAGATGCCATTCGTTAGTTCATGAAAACCATCTGCGGCCTTGCGCAATATATCAAGACCTAAGCTATCTGTGGTATTAACAAGGCGGTGTACTAGTTGTTCAACAGGCAAGCTGCTTGACATTCACCCCATGTTTGGTGGAAGACCTTTGTCCAGAACAAAGCCCGAAAAGAGAGTGTGAGGGCAAATTCCTTGCCAAAATCTTTACCTGAATGCATATATACTGCTACTGTGTCTCTATCTGGGCATTGGCGCCCAGCAGAAGCCATGGTAGAGACTATATACTCGATGACAAGCTTTCAGTCTTCACCCTCAACGCCCGGCATTGTCTTATATATACTGTCGCATTACCTGCGTCCAGCGTCCAAATGTGTGAAATGGCGGCTTACGTGGTGAACCACATCCTGGTGAACCACCTCCCACACGATGGTGTGTGAAATACACGCAGTCACACTGTGTGCGAGCGATGTCCCTTCGTCCTCAAAAGGCCGGAAAATCCGTCAATACATTGGATCATTCCTCGCCATACATCGTTGTACAACGCAGTTGAACAGTACCGCACTGTGAGCCAGACCTCCGTCAATATGAACCACCCTCCAGCACAGTCGCGCGAGCAGTACTTTTTGAGCCACGTCAAGCCGTCGCCCCCTTCAGACGATCCGGCATGTCCCATCTGCAGAGATCCCTGGAGTCCCGATACGTATACCATCATTCGGACGATATGCGGCCACGTCTTCCATCGGTCGTGTCTGGATCGATGGCTAAATAATGAAGACGGTCAGAACACATGTCCGACCTGTCGTGCAGTTTGTTTTCTCCAGCCCCCAGCACAGGAGACCGTGGTTCAAACCGCAGGCCCTAACGTCGACCACGGATTCGACACAGGGCTTGGGGTTGACTCAGGTTATTTGACCAACACTGTCTTTGGTCTCATGGCTACAACGATCCAAGATATGCTTGGGCCGCTTACAAGAACCGAAGATATCCGTAGGCAGTTTGGTATTGACCTCGAAGACCCCAATGATCCCCTGCGGTTTCTTCAAGCCATGAAAAACGTCGTCCATGCAGGTGTACTACAGGGTCGATTTCCGCTAAATCTTCAGGAAGGCTGGATGCCCGAACTAAGGCTCAGACTCGGAGACTGGCAGACTATCAAGTTCCTGATAGCGTCACTTTTCATTTCTGCGCATTGGCGACGGATGACCCCATGGCAGTGGGCCGGCGTACTGGCCGAACGAAATCGGATTGGGCGTGCTGCATCTGACTCGGCGGACTTTGGACCTGACAGGGACTCTTGGATAGAGTACATTAACAACCGTTTCAATGCGGAGTATGTGATCTCGATTGACGCCCACTTCCCAGGCGCCGGAATTACACGCTGGAAGGAGACTGATACGACTGGCCAAATAGTCAACGAAGATGAGCTGGACTTGACAATGATCGACAGCACTTTGGCGACCAACATCAACGTTCCGGGTACAGACTTCAGTCCGGGGCCTCTACTGTACTTCCAAGGTAACTCACTCTGGATTTCGGAACGAGTGATGGGCAACATTGTGGAGTTGAGCATCGACAGCACTTCGCGTACTGTCTATATGCGTAGCTCCGCAAATCGCGAGTTCAGGGTAGAGTTCCTTCCCCATGGATTACAGGAAGACGCTTGTTTGCCACCAGCTACGACAAACATGATAAGGCGCGGTGGAGGGGTTTTCCGTTTCGGGTTCTGTTGAAAAGGTTGTAGAAACAAGGGGAGCGGATTCAGGGTATGTTGTCACAGATGGTAAGAGGAAATGGATTGAGAGAGCTGTTGTCGCCGACGCGCTAAAAGCTGCCCCACCCGCCTGGGAGCTTCCCAGATTGCGTCGCGTCGCGCATCGCATCTTCACTTCAGGATTTGGCACTTTTGGTCACGCGCAGGACTATGTGCGCTCTTTCTCGTAGAGTCTCTGCCTCTCGCTCATAGAAAAATGCGATAGCTAAACCTGACGAATCCACCCATTTCTACCTTACGCATAGCAGACCTATCTCTGACACACTGCAACATAGACAAGATGAAATATAGCGGGTAATCCTTCACCTTCCACACACCTGATGTTCGCACATAATTAATACTGTAGGCTATATTTCGTCTCCAACCCCTCCACCAACATCGACGCCTCTCTCGCTATCGTCAACACCCTCATCCAAGGCATCGAGACCAGCTTCCCAAACACCACACGACAGCAAACGCCATGGTCGCTATCATACCGCGCATTTCGCGACACCATACCTCCGGGTTACCAGCCACCTGCGGGTGCAGACGGTAAACCAGAGCCATACGTACATTCATACCAGCACCTCCTCCACCTTTCGAGCCTCGTGCCGAACCGCACATATGTCTTTGCACAACCGCGAGCGCAACAGGAAACTATGACGTCGATACCGCTGCGACAACAAGACGCACATGCCTCAGTACTGCGATACCAGTGTTCCGCTCTGTGGACGCCGAGACACATACTCGCGGTGCGAGAGGGGGCATCATATAGCGGGGGCCTCTGTTCGATACAAATCGGCGAACTACGAGCGACTCGCGAAGGTCCGCAGTCAGGCGCTATCTCATCACCCGGCGTCGTGGTCTGCATTAGCACAACGTTGGGCGCTGAGGACACGGATGGCAACATGGATTCCGGCTATGGCACAATGGAGAATGGTGCAGCGATGCAGGTGGACGAAGAAGATCTCGACATTGAGTATGCGCAGGCTGTGGTGCGCGACTGCTGGAGTAGGATCAAGGATGGCCGCGATCTGGGCCGGTCAGAGATCAGGGAAGTGATGATGGCTTCGACTACAACAAATAAAAAGGGCCAGGAGCAGGAGGCGGCGGTGCGCATGTGGTGCGATGCTCTGCGCATGCGCGGATGAGCGAATGTTTGCACACCATTTATCATCATATACCCAATGCGAGAACTTGAGCTGGACATGTAGCAGCAGATGTGACACGACACGCACTCATAGAGCGTAGCATGCAAGTGAATCATGGATAGTTTTACAGTTTGATTGACTATATGCCAGGCCTACCCTGCCTAGACACTCATACGACCGTCTAGTCTCATTGCCTCCTACCAAATCCCTAGGTATCCCTACAGGTATCTAAACTACAACAACGTAAAGGGCAAAGAAAGAAAAAAGAAAGCGAAGGTGGTAAGGTCAAGTATTAAGGCAACATCTTGCGCACATTCAGATTACAACACATAGTTGAAGATCGATCCCGAAAGCTTGATCAGCTCGCGCCATAACCCTAGACCGGACATATGCAAAAGGAAATTTCTGGGAAGGCGAAAGAAGGGAGTAGTAATAACCAGCCAGTAGATGAAGGATAAGTATCGCACAATGAAGAAGATACACAACATCCAGGTAAGGCTTACTGCGCACCAACCTCTTCTTCTGCCCAGCCGGGGAGACCACCGTCACCCTGGATGGCAAGACCGTAACCGCCGTTGCCGCTGCCGAAACCACCGATGCCGGAGCTTAGGCTACCGAAAGAGCCCTGCTGAGGTGCTTGGGTTTGCTGCATGGAGTGGTTGAAGGGGCCCTGAGTGAAAGCGGGCAGGCTCACAGCGCGAGAGTGTTGGCCACGCGAGTTGAGGTTCGAGGGTGCGAGGAGGCCACCAACAGTAGTAGCACCTGAGCCACCAGCCGACGTACCGTTAATCAGACTGAAGCTCGATGTGCTTTGATGGGAGCTATGAGAGTGGTGTGGCTGAGGAGTGTTCAGGTCGGCACTGTAGAAAGCAGCTTGCGGCGACTGGAAAGATTGCTGCTGATTCTGCTGCTGCTGTTGCTGCTGCTGTTGTTGTTGCATGCTGGCCTCGACCTGTTGTTGTTGTTGCTGCTGTTGCTGAGCTTGTAGGTACATCATGAGGGGGTTATTGTTGCCGGAGTTCATGATGTTACCTGAAGCAGGTGCTTGAACGGAAGGGAACTGGCCGTTGGTGCTTTGGCCAGAGCCTGGTGCGCCAGAGCCAGTCGGCGAGACTGAAGCACCAGCACGGTTGGGATGCAGTCCGTTAATAGGCGATGGTGACTGGAGACCATCGCTACCGGCTTGTTGAGCCTGGGCCTGCTGACTGTTCATCTGGCGAGGAGGGTTACCGCATCGATCCTTTCCGAAGTTGACCTTGAATCGCTTGTATTCGTCACGGCCACGGATCGCTTCGATTGCCTTAATGGCATTGGCAATGTTGGTGAAGTTGACGAATGCACAGCTCTTCTCGCGCAGGGTGTTGACCAGCTCGATCTCGCCGTACTCTGAGAAATCCTGCCTTAAGCGGTCTTCGGTCCAGGACTCATCTAGGTTGCCGATGTAGACGTTACGTGAGGCACCACCACTGACAGCAAGGGCAATCGCAGGCGGGAGAGCACCGGAGTGCTTACCCCATCCGATCTTCAAGCGACGGTTGTGGATCATAAGCCCCTGGAGATTGCTAAGAGCGTAGAAGGACGCAGCCGACGTCGGGTCGATGAAAGTAACGAAGCAAATGTGCTTATCCGGGATATACCTGATGTGGTGAAGAAGACCACCGCGCACAACATTGCAGATCTCCTCGATGGTGGTTTCGGGATGAATGTTACCTAGGTAAACTGTTCGGTTACCCAAGTTGTTCACACCACCAGCAGAGGTCGCGACCGCCGCGGCAGCGACAGATTGCTGAGCAAGAGCATTGGAGATCATGTCGCGATCAGCACCGTTCAGAACATGAGCGTAGCCAGGCGCGATACCCAGGTACTGCGCTGCGTTCTGCTGCTGGGTCTTGGAAACGTAAGCGCATCGATCCTTGCCGTAGTATACGCGCCTAGGCGCTTGCCACTTTGGCTCCTGGGGAAGTTGAGACACAGCCTTGATGGCATTTCCGATGGACAAGAAGTGAACAAAACCAATAGCCTTTTCCCGGACGATCTTGACGGTATCAATGGGACCAAATTTGCTGAGGTCTTCGCGGAGTTCGTCCTCAGAGACATCCTCGGACAAGTTACCTAGGTAGACGTTGCGAGAGGCACCCGATTGCTGCACAGCCAAGGCCACAGATGTGGGGACCTGGGACGGCTTTCCCCATCCAATCTTGATGTCCTGACCCCTGATTGACAGCTTCTTCAGAATGGCGTCAGAGTGGAAGTGAGTGGCGGAGCTGCTGTCCAGGAAGGAGATGAATGCGCAGTTCTTGTCTGGGAGAAGCCTGACGGACTCGATTTGACCACTGCGTACATGGCCGAGGATCTCCTCCGCAGAAGTCTCAGGGGGGATGTTGCCCAGGTATACAGTCCTGCTAGTTCCAGATACAAGACCGGGAGCAATCGGCATTGAGGAGCCGAGTCCACCGAGACCCTGCGCGCCGTAACCAGGGAAACCTCCAGTCGGTGACTGGGGTCCACCAAAAAAGCCACTAGTGGGAGAAACCATGTTCTGGTACAGCTGGGGCGAAAGAGGCTGTTGCAAGGGGCTTCCCATCTGGTTGTTCTGGTGGTTCTGTTGCTGAGACTGATTCTGGCCAGCGAACTGTGCGAAGTTCTGAAACTGCGGGGAAGCGAAAGCCGAGGGCGAGCCTGGCTGGAAGGGGCTACCGAGGAGCAACTGCGAAGGGAGCAGAGGGGTGAAGTTCATGTCGAAACCAGTTCCTGGAGTCTGCAAATCGTTGCCGTTCTGGTTGCCAGGGTTGAGTCTGCCGGTATTGATGGACATGTTGTTCGCCCTCTCCGGGTGTCGGTCGCCATAGCCGGGCTGGTTCGTAGCGAAGGCGCCGTGCGAGAAGCCGTGGTGACCGCCGTTCATCTGCCTGTGGAAGCTCGACTGGAGACGAGGACCGCTGGGGGCGTTCGGGGCGCCGTCGTGTTGCTGCATACCGAGGAGGTGCGGAGGCAGACTGAAGCTGTCCCGCGCGTTTTGAGATAGAACCGCCGTGGTGAAGGTGTATTACTGCGTCCGGGACTCGTTGGACCGGACGGCGAAATATGTATGGCAGAAGGTGAAGTTGCAACCGGTTGCAGAGAGGTCGCCGGGCTTGCGAAGATGCTGCTGTATTACAAGATGTAGAGCGTTCTAGAGGGCATTAGTTTGAGAGCAGTGGAGACGCATTGGACAAGACGTACTTCCAAAAGCACAATGGCAACGAGTCGTTTGCAGGTCTAACAATACAAGACACGCTCACAACGCAGGCAATCGGGGCCTAAAGGATGCAGGCACAGAGGTCCAGAAGGGTACTGTCGCAGGCTTGCACGGTGGACGCAGTGGAGGCGCAATTAAATGCCGTGGGCCAGAGCTGCCGAAGAACAAACTCGCGTGGCTTGTTTGAGGATGCGTGCACCAAAAGAGCGAACAATAAGAATGAAGTGCAAAGAAGCAAGCTTTGCCGGGAGCCTCGATGCGGGGAGAAGAGGACAGAATGAACGAAGGGGATCGAAGAAGAGGGATGCGACCTGAAGTCGGAGCGGAGGAGAGAAGAAAGAGGTCGGTGAGAAATGCTAACTAGCAGGGCACATTAGGAGGCAGCCGCAAATGAGGCAGCCCAAAGCGGACAACTAGCGCACCGCCCATTTTAAACGCGCAGGCCACGTCTGAATCGTGCAAACCACCGTCGCCACGAACCGCTGCCCTGCAGTTCTCTGGCCCCGTAGACGCCTGTGCTAGGCGGCGTGGTATCTCGTGCAGCGACGCGCCCCCGTGCCTGGCGTAGACGGCCTTGTGCTACCAACGGCGCAACTCGGTATCCTCCAGCAGATGCGGCCAACGGGTAATTGCAGATATGCACACTCCGTCCCTGACTAGACGAGCCGCCTGATAGTGCTGCTCTTAAGACGGGTCCCTTTTTTCCCTTTGTCACGCGAACACGAAAGGGTCCAGATCGTATTGCGGCGGCTCCAGTTCCAGGCGTAAGGATAGCCCTTAGTGCCAGCCTGCCCATCGCCGCGTCGCAGCAAGCCGTACTGAGCGTTTCCGTCTGGTCTGGCTCCGGGATTTACTACTGCGAGCGTTCGCCAGGTGTGGAACAAACACGGAGCGCTCCGTCTTCGGGGTATCAGATGTCAAACGCCATCATGCGAAACCTCCACGTGTGTCATGCTTACCCCTGGGGGTTTGCTGACTTCTAGAATGACGTTTGCGTATTCTGCTGTTTCCAAGGTCCAAGGTTGACGTGTTCTGTACATACGCGACCACGGATGCTGGATGACAGGGATTATCCATAAGCGAGCACGTGACGCCCAACTACGAGCGACTGGTCAATCTGTGCTTTCCGGCGATCGTGCATCAACCCGCTGTCAATTCTCCCATGGCACAGCTGTCTCCGTCCATTGCGCAGTGCGCCGTAGTGGCCACGGCGCTCAAGGTGCTGCTTTTCCCTGCTTAGTATGTCTCGCTGCACAATTCTGAGGTTTAGTTCCTCGTCCTTGCTGACCATCTCCGGCAGTAAGTCGACCGACTTCGAGGTTCATCGTAACTGGCTTGCTCTAACGCATTCCCTACCCATCAAGGAATGGTATTACGAAGTCAGACAACCATGCCGTCAACGCCACGCAATTGTTCCAATCTAACGCACTCCAGAAAACGTCTGAATGGACCTTGGACTATCCGCCGTTCTTCGCTTACTTCGAATGGCTAATGTCTCAAGCTGCACCCTATGTTGATCCTGGCCTGCTCAATGTAAAGGATCTTGGATACAACAGCTGGCAGACTGTATACTTCCAGCGTACTACAGTCGTTTTAACCGAGCTCGTCTTGGTCTACGCTTTGCACCTGTACTTACACATCACCCTACTTGATCTGTCCGTTACTAAATGCTCGCCAGCTATGTGAAGACCTCAAAGTCCAAAGTCACTGCTCACGCCGCTGCACTCTCTGTCCTATTGTCGCCAGGACTGCTGATAATCGA